TCCACCCCTTTTCAAATTCGCGGGACCTGCTCTTGTGGATGATTTATACGAAGTGCTAATGAAACTGTGGGAGTAGGAAACTGTCCCAACCGACTGGAGCCGCTCCGCCATCGTACCAATTTTCAAGGGAGACTCACGATCGGAATGGGACAACCATAGAGGAACCAGTTCAATCTTCATTAACCCCAAATTACTTGGCTCCGTAATCCTACGCAGACTGACTGGCGATCGTGATAGCAAGATTTGTAAGGAGCAAGCCGGGTTTCGTCGTGGTCGGGGTTACATCGACACCATATTCAAATAACGTCAGCTGTTGGAGCACCGTCACATATACTGACGGCCCACTGTTGTCGCATTCCTCGAGACCAAAAACGCCTTCAATTCGGCGGATGAATGTATCCTTTCGGATTGCTTGCTAAGGAAAGGTGTGTCCGAGAAATATGTAAATCTTATCCGAGCATTATATGCGCCTACCTCGGACAGAGTGAGGGATTACGGCAAGCTGTCGCCGTCCTTCAATATCTCCAGCGGTGTAAGACAAGGATGCCCGCTGTCAACTTTCCTCTTCAACTTCGCTTTTGAAGAAGTCATGGAAATCGCGTTCAAATGATACGACACAGAGGTGTGGAACTGCTCACAGGTCAACGACTTCTTGATTTGCAGTTCGCTGGCGATATTGCCCCCATCTGTGACAGTTCCTAAAAGTGCCAAGCGGCAATGGACAGATTAGTACTGCTTGTCACCCGTTTCGAGCTGTGTTTTGCACTCTCCAAGTGCAAAGCTTTTCTTTAAGATTGGAATGGACCGTCACCTGCGCTGACGCTTGGTGAGGATCAGCTAGAAGTCGTGCAAAAGTTCAACTAAGCGCCGTTGGAATCGAAGACGAGGTCACGAACTGTATAGCAAAAGCACGAGGTACTTATGTTAACCTTCGCCACCTAGGGCGCCGGCGCGATATCACTCTCTTCCTGAAGGATAGAGTGCACAATGCAGCCTACTGTACGGTTGCGAAACCCTGCCCCTTAGATCACCAGATATAAGGTGGCTAGTTACGTTCGACCACCGGTGTCTCCGCAGTTTGGCACACATCTGGTGGGAACACCGTCTGAACAACGAGCGTGTTCGACGCCTTGTTTATGGCGAAGGAAGAAAAAGCGAACCGCTCAGCACCGTTCTCTCACGCACCAAACTCCGATGGCTGGACCACGTGCTGCGCATGCCAGCCCACCGACTCCCTCGACGTGCGTTATTTGCGCGCCGGGGGTGTAGATGGAAGAAGAGGAGAGATGGCCAAGCGTTGCCTTCGTCAATAGGAATGAAGCCCTTACTTCGAAGTTGGCCTCGGTTGGAGCCTGTCGGCTCCCTAGTTGGGAGCGAAGGATGATGCACACGTTTGGCTGGATACACCTGTTGACATGGCTAGGAGCAGAGCTCAGTGGCCTTCGTGCTGTGAGTTTCTCTGTCTCTCCCCCACCCGCTTAGCCTGCCCTTCCAACCACGATCTCAATTATTAAGAATAATAGGACTACCCTGCAGCACAATAGCCGACTGTTAGCTCTCCGGAACGATATCCATGCGTTACTGATGATCCAACGGTGTGCCATTGTTTCCTAGTTTTTCCTTTGTATTGCGGCACAATAGCCGGGGTGTCTTCCACCTGCAGATAACGTGCATAACGAATGGTCTGATCAAGCACTTTTCTGAACCACTGTTATATTTATATTGCGTATCGGGTGGTGTTGCTTCCTCGATGAATGCGGGAGGCTGTGGTTCTTTAACCGTCACTTTTAATCGTATTTCCGAAATGTGCTGCGCAGTATCTGCCAGCTAGAGTTCACCGTCATATGTTGGGAATGAACAATAGGTGGAGTTTCGGTAGAGTCTTCTCACATCCCTGAACTATACCACTGACGGTTTCGTCCTGGCTTGGACTCATCAGGTAAAGATAGCCTGAATTGGGAATGGAACTCGGCACACTGTGGTTGGCGGCTAACGCCATGATTATTAGACCACTGAGCACCACGAGCAGAGCGAGACTCCAAAACCCACTATTGATTGAACCATAAGTTTCATTATCCTCTGATCACTGCCTTTGTAGTGATGTGACAGGAACAGCCTTGAAATCGACTGAAGTATTAAGTCACCAACACAGGAAGCTTCACCGATGTTCCGCAATTCTTCTAAGTCATGAACGTGGGTTTCCTCGTCGCTAACTGCTGGTAGCTTGAGTGCGCCAGAAAGAAAAATGGTCTTTCTGCTTCTGTCCGTATGGTGGTCATTTGGATTATTCTTGTCCCGCCGGCGTTGGCTCTATGAAACAACCAGAAAACTACGTATCACGCCGTCTACACTTCAGAGACTGTATGCCGACAAAAGCACCACCACAACATCATATGTGGATCCTAGTGTTATCCTTATAAGTCGGGACTCATCGTATTGCATCGAGTTTGGATGTCTAATGATGCAGCCTTGCCCGAATATAAATCAGATAACGAAGGAAATTAAATTGCTTAAGGCAGTCCTGCTGCTTACTCCCTAAGGAGTTTGCGTTGGACTCAGGAACCTTGGTGCAGATGAGCGTTAGAGCATCGCAGGTCCTCCTGATCTTCGGTGAATTGGAGGGCGCTCTATCGGTAGTTTTGGTGACGTCTCTCTAGTTCGCTTCTGGTCTAAAACAGCTGAGGCTTCTGGATTCGCAATTTGTTTACATACATCGAACAGCAACGGTTGCAGAAGTGGATCGGCCTTTTAAGAAGTGCGGTATTCATCGGTCAACAGAAAGTGCAGGTGTTACCGATGCTGCTCAGTCAAAACTCTGTACAAGAAGGTAAGGCCTAGGTAGCTGAGCACGCTTTGATCATTCGTGATGACGAGGTTCTTAAGATTTCCGTTACAGTTATTTCGTGTGTCAGGGAAAAACAGGTTTGGGGCGCGAGCAACTCGTAAAACTATCTCGTCAAACTGTTTGCAGTGAGAAGGACTAGCCTTTTTCCTTGGTTTCGATGTAGCAATTGATACAAGCCGTGCTATTGTCGCTCTTAGAGAAACAACTTTCGCACTTAGACGAAGTTCAGTATCGGCGATTAGAACGTAATACCTTTGTGCAAAAGCAAAGGAAACCATTGTACACTCAGAACAAAACTAAAGTGAGCCCGGTATACTGTTACACTACTTCACTTCGGTTCGACACGCGCTGGCGCATTTTGGACCGTAATGTCTGGTACAATGAGAACATGTTAGTCCTACTGTTGCTACCCTAGCACTTGCTTGAGTAACATAAAAAAACCCTTTTGGGTTACAGGCGTTGTGGCCATGGTAGCCGAACGGCCGCTTCCTGATTTGCAGGTTAAAGACGTCTCGCCGTCGGATAAAGTTCGCTCGCCTAGCGTTAGGTCGAGGCCAGATGACCGGCTGGTCGTGCTTTGCGCGTTGTGCCTGTCCAGCATGCGATCGTGGGTAGGGCGGCTAGTGTAGACTAATAGTGTATGCCGTTGTCATGCAGGAGAGTATGATTGGTCGCACCGATAGCGGCGAAAGTTTATGGCTGCCTAAGCGAAGGGTGTACAATGGAAAGGTAATTTGCACCGTCTCTCTTAGACAACGTGATGAAATGGAAGGGGCGAGAGCTTGATGGTTAGCTTGAAGACTTCTCGATCAAATGAGACCAAGGTGGGTGACCGTAACAACGCAATACTGTGCACGGAACGATAAAAATTGCTCAAAGTCGTAAATTCCGGTGGCGACAAACTATGCTGAAATGTTTCCAGCAGTAGTTCGCCTGCTTAACAACACTGGAACGTGGCGGATGTGACTCGCCACGGATTAAAGTCACTTCCCTTTGCATCACGCTGGCAAGTATCCCTATTTCACACACCATTAATTCAGATGCATACGCTCATATGTTTACGTACTTTTGTTAATCATATGCGGTCCTTCATTATCAACACAGCGCTAATTATGCTGCTTCTCACAAGATGTCTTTACATTTTCACGTTCCTGCGTGTAATTTATCCTGAATCTGGTGAAACGCCATTGCTTGTCTAATTTTGATCATGCATAGTTTGGTGTGTCTCGAAATATTCGATAATAAAATTATAGTGATTTATTTATGTAAAAAGTGTAAGTCCAGGGAGGTGCGACAAAATGCTGTGGAGAATATCCGAAAAGACATTGCGGTACTATACAGGGCAGAGAACCGTATATGAAGTCGGACCACAGGCCATAAAAGTAATTACTAGAGCATTTCAGTCGAGGCGATGGAGCAACAGTTGCGGAACACAATCCCATGCTCTCTCCATACACTGTGGCGGCCGTCTCAAGAGAGGTGACCGAAAAAAGTGAGAATTTCGCGAAAAAAGCACTTCATCGATTAATTGATTAACACTGATTATCGCATGGCTTGCTAACATTCTGACATTTACAAAAACTGCACGAGACGGTACAACCGTTTGAGGATTGACTAGATCGGTATGATGTCGCTAATTGTAACAGTTAGTCTTTCTATTCTGGAAATGTCAATAGATGACCTATAAATGTGGCCGAAGTCTACCTCAGTTGCGGCGTTGGTTGGTAATGGTTAACATGATATTTTGTTAAGGTCATGTGAGTTGTGACTTTTTCTTTCTGTTTGACCAGAAGGAGGTGAGCGTTTCATTCAGATATGAAATTAAAGTAGACGATGTAACACAAGAAAGCAGTTGCATAATGTTAGGGAACATTCTCATCGTGTTTGTGACTTTGATGCTCATTAGATCACGCGACATCAAGCGACAGTGTTTAGTAAAACGCAACCTAAGCCAGTTTGATGCAAGACGTGAATGAGAGACAGGTGGAATTAGGAGACATAGAAGTAAAGTGATCGAAACGTCCAGACAGAATCCGACCTTCTGCTTGCTTAGTAGCAGTGATTCAGAAGAGTCTAATGATAAGACCCACCAACTTAAAGGAAAGGTAACTCGTGAGAACAACCTAAGCAAAAGATTTGCAATTCATCGACCTACCATTTTCTTAAGTCTTTTCAGCCGGACACGGCCATTTTTTGAGATGAGTACATCGGTCACCAAGCGGGATATCCTGATCGGCTTCGTGCCCGGAGAAGCTGAATCACAGCCGTTGGTGAAACCTTCAAAAAAGTCATTCGTGGGGAACATGCAGAACTCACTCAGATCTTTTCTTGAGGGTTGCACAAGGCCAGTGGAGGGACAAAAGTCGAAAACATTACTAGACTCTAGGAAAAGAATGAGTTCCTGTTTGAATTGATGCTTTGTCCAGGCAATTTCTGCGGATGAAACAAATGACTGATATTCGGGATATAACTATGGAGAAAAGAGAATGTTGTGAATAAAAGGAACTTAGGTTTATGTTAAGTATTCAAGCATAAACACTAATCGAATCATTAACGAAGGTGGTGGAAGTGAGAAAAGCAGCAAACAAACAAGCAGTCAAGTAAAAATGAGTAGGAAGAAAATCAGAAAAATCGGATGATGAGATCGAGAGCCAAAAGTGAATCGAAAGCAAGAACGCCATAGACGTCTTCGTCAAACTGTCACATAGTCCGGAACATCGGCGGAGCCAATCTTTAAGCCCCTCTCCAAGATAGTCTATGGAACGGATTCGATATTTATTGGCGACATCGTCGACCGAGGGAATCAGGGAAATAACGCAACCAAATGGAGTGTACGGAAGTAAAAAGAGTGGAGGAAAATAGCTTGGAAGCATAGCAAAAACATGAGTTGCCTAGAGTAGGCAACCTGAGTTCGACAACAACAACACTAGACAGTTGGATGCAAACATGCACTGGCAACGGTGGTGCGTTTGCTGTACTCAATTAGTCGGATCACATTACCCCACTGAGGAAAGCATTGAGAATTGGCTCGCCGATGTCGCGTTATTTCCGCAAGATAGCGCTAGGACAAGGTACTCAGACAGTGCTGTTGTTGATGATGAAGGCGACCATCATTACTCACTGAGTGCCCTCATCATATATAAGCAACACCACGAAGGCACCGGTGCTCAAAGAAGTGCCATATGATGAAGCAGCTGGATAGTGGATGCTACGTTCCACACTAAGATTGCGCGTCGCAATCCACCCACACAACGAGTGCTTCTACGCAGCCGGTAGCTGAGTGGCTCAGGCGTCTGCCTTGCAATCCAAAGGTTACTGGTTCGAGCCCGCATTAGTACGGGAGACCTCACAGCACCCCTAATCCGCACATGATTGGTTGTGGTCGCGTGCCAGCGAAGCGACGGCGGGAAGTATCGGCGCAGCGCTGATGCTTCGCTCCTAACCCAAAAGAACGAACCAGTCGGACAGAGTAGTTGCATGGGTTATATCAATGCTCCTGAGGGTACAGCAAATAAAAGGGCAACAAATTTGCATGTTAAAAGGCGTCGAAGTACAAGTCCAAGAGAAATAATGTTGGAATCAGTTAACAGGAAAAGACACAAACAAGGTACAGCACAACTAAAAGCAAGGATTAAGTTGACTTACCTTTCGAATTAAAACTGTTAAACTCATAGGGCCAACGTTGCCTGCAAGGGCATTTGATGCGGCAGTGTGGAGATCAAAAGGAGATACAGCTGAAGTCGGAATATGCTGGAAGTATAAGCAACAAACCAGGAGTGCGGGAGCTTTCAAGTTCGCGAGCATTGCTATCAGATCGGCTTTGTTTGATGGGACAACAAGACATCGATAACGAGGATTTGGCTAAAAACCAAAAACGAATCATTTTAATACTGATACTCACCTGTTGACAACATGTTCCAAATGGTACTAATCAATTCAGGAGGCAAACGTGGATACTTAGATTGCATGAAATTCTAGGAAAGTGAAAACACGAAACGCCTACTTCAAATTTCTTTTGCTTCGTGGGGACGTTGGGGCAATTTGAAAGACCCTCCAAAAATGGACGGATACGAAGGTCAGTGGATGGACATTTATCAATGGCCACCTTGATAACTTCTGTCCAATCGATGCTGTGATTTGCTGCAGAGCGCCGTTTGTTCTGCTTTCCTAGCTCAGAAATGCATGTAGCATGAAGTTTATAGGAATCACGGCTACCAAAGATAAAACAACAAACTGTAACATACTCAAAATCCTTGTGGCATTCCATACAGGATATGGCTCTGCAACCACGACAACGCGTAAAATGTGTTTCCACCACTTGCTTTCGTAAAGGCTCATTACACGCAGTGCAAGAGAAAATGACCATGACAACAATGTGTAACGCAGTGAAACAAGCTGTAAGGAAAAGTATCCGCAATACAGTCAGGCGAATCACACAACACAGGTGAAATAAAACTACGGATAAACCCCAATCACGAGGGTCACCCGGAGTAAAATGAGTATAAATTAGGCATATTTTTACATGCAGTAGCTCTGAGCGAACGGTTAACCCAGGTTATCAAACTTTTAGGACAAATTTTAAATTAGGTTATAACCACCTATAAGTCATTAAAATATTATGTTAAGCACTATAGCCATTTCCCCCCATAGTATAACCGTTTTACCCCATGGCTAGGGAGAATGGGTATACTACAGGGTAAAGTGTGTCTATCTCCTACCACCAGCAACAACGTCATCTAACAGCAAAATAGTAAAGCAAGCGTCAACAAGTTTTACACAAAATATTGTTATTGACAAAGTTTTTGAATTCAGGATAATTTGTTGAAAATAGTGTTACTGCAAAAAGCATGTAATAATGAAACCACGGTCTTTGTCAATGGTGTCTGTGGCATAAGCATTTCACTGAAAGCATATTGCTAGACAAATTTATATTGTTCACGGCTAGTGCAGGCAAGTTATAGCATCCTTTTAAGAATGTTGTCAGTGGAAACATAAGCAGTGTACTCCATTTCTGGAAAAACGTAGTAGGATCCGACCAGTGATTTAGTCACAAATTTCACCATGTACAAGGCTTCGTCCGGTGTTTTAATGACGAATCCCAGAAACTCATCAGCAATAGGCCAGTACGCAGTAACGACATTTCGCTACCGCGCAACCACTACCGGTCGCAAGTGAGCTAGGGGTAGTGCGAGAGCCACCCTGTTCCTACGCAGGCTCGAAACCGCGCTGAAAGATTACGAGACAAGCTCGTGTTACCCCTAGGCCACGAGCCGGGTCCCAAGTGCTTGTGCAGTCCTCTTACCATCACATTTAACTGGTACCTGGTATCCAATGATTAAATTACATGTATCTACATCTGTACTCATTTGTTTAGCCTCTCCAGTATGCACCTTAGCTATCTGTCGGCAAGTTAAGGATGGAAATGGCATTCTTTTGATTTGTCATTCTAGATATATTGGCTTTTATTTCTGTTTCGTCGTTAAGAAACCTGGCTGGTACCTTCCCTGTTGCTAATACTTCTCCAGGCATTGCTTGAACTATCTTCCAATTTTTCAGCATTGCCCATGACTGCCAAGTTAATAGGCAAACAATCCGGTGAAATCGTTTTATTATTGCCTGATGCAAAAGATTATCTGAAACAAGTTGTGACGGTTCAGAAGTGCCTATTTGACGAGCATCAAGTAAACTATTCTGTCCTTCTGCTTCCACTGCTGCAGTGACTGTAATAACAACATGAGCATTATCATCATTATACAACTTAGCTAGAGATGGAAAACACCTCAGCTATTGTGCTGCAATGCATAAAAAACATGCAACAGATGCATTACAGCTGAGCTACCAGTAACGGATGGGCATGGTACCGGAAAGCTACTAGCCGACTATTGTCACAAACAAATTTATTATACAAAATTATGTTATGCTAAGAAATGAGATCGTGGTTGGAGGGGGAAGCTAAGCGAGATTGAGAGGGAAAAAGAAACTCACAACACGAATGCCACTAAAGTCGGCTCCTAGCCATGTCAACAGGTGTATCCAGCCAAACGTGTACATCATCCTTCGCTCTCAACCAGGGAGCCAAGAGGCTCCAACCGAGGGCAACTTCGAAGTAAGGGCTTCATTCCTCTTGACGAAGTCATCGCTTCGCCATCTCTGCTCTTCTTCCACCCACACCCCCGGCGCGCAAATAACGCACGTCGAGGGAATCGGTGGGTTGGCATGCGCGTGAGAGAACGGTGCTTTTTCTTCCTATGCCATAAACAAGGAGTCGTACACGCTCGTTGTTCAGACCGTGTTCCAACCATATGTGAGCCGAACTACGAAAGCAATGCTGGTCGAACGTAACTAGCCACCTTATGCCTGCTGATCTGATGGGCCAGGTTTCACAGCAGCAAAGGAAAGTTGAAGGTACCACTGCATTGCACACTCTGTTCTTCAGGGAGACAGTGTCGCACCGGCGCCATAGATGACGAAGGTTAGCAAAAGCGCCTCGAACTTTTGCTATACAGTCAGTGATCTCGTCTTCGATTCCAAGGGCGCTGATACAACTTTCCAGGTAGTTGAAATTCTGAACGACTTCCAGCTGATATCCACCAAGGGCCAGTGCAGTAGGCGGTCCATGCCAAACTTGGAGGAAAACTTTGCATTTCGAGGGCGAAAAGAATAGCCCGAAACGGCGGACAGCCATAGCCAATCTATCCAGGGCCGCTTGGCACTTTTGGGGGCTGTCACAGATTGGGAGAATTTCGTCAGTCTATTCTAAGTCAAGAAGTTGTTGGCCTGGAAGAAGCTCCATAGCTTCTAAGTCGTGTCCTGTGAACGCGATCTCCATGATTTCGTCAGTGCATGAGCATTATCCACAGAGATTACAATTCTGTGCTGTGAGGCTTCTTCATTACCTGGATAGATCACAGTGCCTTTAAATCCACTGATAATATTTTTCGGAGGAAAAAGGCCAAATAGTTATTTAACCAGGGAAGGAAAAACTTACTTGTTGATTTTTTGGAGTCAGTTTTCTCTAAACTACTTCTGCAGAGTAGGCTTGCAGGCTAACTTTAAAGGTCCAAAGACACCAACGTCTATTGACTGAAGTGCATGGTTAGTGGTTGGTGGCAAACATATTATGTACTTTTCTATGGCCAACTTTATTGTCCTGTAAATGAGGTGGCTGCGTGTCCATCATATTTAAGCAAAATTGGCTTCTACGCATGTGCTGCGCATGTAATAAAATGCACGAACTAGAATTCAAAAACGGAGTGCTCCATCCATCCTGATTTTGTGACGCCTAGGCAGGGTGCTGCAGGACCATCTATAGTCCAGGATTCATACAGATGTAACCCTTTATAGGTGTGATTTTCATGTGCTGTATTCTGCCTATTAACTCACACTAGAATATAAGATGTAAGGCAGTATGCGAGTTACAAATAACATCAAACAGGTTGCTCTGTAAAATATAGACCTACTCACTATGTAAATCAGTAGCCATTTTTAAAATATATAAAAGTTCATTTTCATTTGTCTGTACACTCAAAAAGGTTTACTGATCAATAATATGTAGCGCATACCAGTCTAACATTTATTTGTTTTTAAGAGAAGCATTACAAGTCTTACATGGCAGGCATAAGCAAGATGGTGGAGCTTCCTGGATTGTACTAGCAAAGAAAAATATTGTAGTTACGAAAATCATGTAACTTTAATCACAATATACTAATATTCATACTATTCCTACAAATTATTTGAGACAGGTTTTAATCTATCCGTATACCCATTTTACCACAGCTGACCCTATAGTCAAAATGTGAAAGGGTCACGCAAGAACTAGAGGAAACAAACGATCGGATACATCGACAAAAGCCATTTCAGCTAATATTTCATCGCGATCATTGAGGCCGAATATTACGAGGGGTCCCTTAGTTCTACATTCGGGGTCTCCGGTCAAAACAATTCTGATCGGAAATGACGGAGACAGATAACTGTCTTCGAGAAGGAAGTGGTTACGAGCGTTTAAAACGGTCTATTGTAAGTTCAAATTTAAATGGGACCCCAGTGACAGGCAGATGCCGTGAGTTGTCACGCTTCAGCGGATCGCTGAGTCTGGAATTGATAAGGTGCTCCCATGTCTTGACGAATCCAAGACATAACACCCGAAGCACACCGTTGCAAACTGATCAATGTCCAAGGGTGCTGTACTATTCGTCCATGCAGTGCCTGTTAAGTATGCAGGAGAGAGAAATCCAAGGTATAGAAGGAGGAATAGCGATTATATATATATATATATATATATATATATATATATATATATATATATATATATATATATATGTGGTTGGCGGCATCCGGTTTCGGATTTGCCTGTCACTGTGGCAAGCCACAGGACGCCTGCGCCTACAGAGGGACCATGGGTGGCTTGCGCTGCACCACCCACAGCTCCATCCACACACCCCATATCCAGTGTAAACCCGAAGGAATAAGACCGGGGGACATGCGGATGGGAGCCACGTTTCATCAACGGAGCCGGCCCACACTCCTTCACAGGCAAACACAAGCACGCTGTATTTGGGAACTCAAGCACACACAAGGCGGTGGCTGGACCGTAGTCCGCTCCACACTGACTGCATGGAACCACTCTTCGAGCCTAACACGGCCACAAGGACCGTGCACCCCGTCCCCTCCAGCAACGACCAACTGTCTCCTGGAGACAGTATGGACGAGGTAGTGGGTAATAGACAGGTAGGCACCTTGTCAACATGCACATCAAGCGCAGCCACACCGAGGATATCAAACAACAGCCAATCACCTGAGAGAGAGAGAGAAAGAAAAAGAGAAAAACTCGATTAATGCATAAGGAAACGGTGACATAAACCTTAATTAAATAGCATACGTAATAAGTTGTTTACATACAAATCCTAGCTAAGTGCACGAGGTCAGGAAGTATAGTTCACGGTATGCCACGAACACAAAAATGTTATGGAAATCGAATACAATTGGCTGAAGCGATGTGTGCAAGTTAATGGAATAGAGTACAGGGAGATATTTATATGAGAAAGAAAAGCATTAAGGTAAAAACTGTAAACCCACCACCTGAAATAAAGAGACTTAGCATGCAAGCACGCGGTTAGTAAATCGAATTCAGCGTGCCTACAAACGCTGCGCCGGCTCGTCGTAATTCTCTGCAGGACCCGTCGTCGCTTCTGTAGTGGCCCCAAATGGCACAGCGCATGGCCCACTAGACATTTATATGAGAAAGAAAGGCATTAGGAGAGAATCGCAAACCCACCACCTGAAATAAAGAGACTTAGCATGCAAGCATGCGGTTAGTAAATCGAATTCAGCGTGCCTACAAACGCTGCGCCGGTGCTGCCTACGTTCACTGCGGGACCCGTCGTCGCTTCGGCAGT